CTGCCCATGGCAGGGGGGGTGGAACTAGATGATCTTTAAGGTCCCTTCCAACCCAAACCGTTCTCTGATTCTAAGATCTTTGTTTAATCTACTGAGCAAGGAAGGAAATGTCTTTGCTGTCTTCACATTACAGAAACAAATGCTAAAACCTGGGCTGAATTGGAGCAAGTAGCAATGTTTAACACCTAATTATGTGTGTGCAGAGTGTTACAGGTGAGATTAGCACAGTGAAGTATGTCAGCAGACCAAAAAGGTCGATTAAAAGAACGTGGAATGTTCATGCAATTAGACTGAGTTACCTGAAAAGCAGCACCAGGTTATGAATGTTGTTTAAAAGGCAAGCTCAGACCACTGCTGTGCTGGGGGATGACGCGAGTTAAACCCTCTCTCTGGCTCTTTTCCAGCCCATCGGAGCTCTGCTGCTGGAGCACTGCAGGATCACCAAAGAGGAGGAGAACGTCTTCTCCATCAGTGAGTTCCCTTTGCGTTTCCCTTATGGCAAATAGTGCTGTGTAAAAGGAAGTGGTTTGCTGCTTAGTTCCTGCTTTTCCCTCTGCTTTCTCTGATAACAGTGGGGCTAGGGCTCCTCAGCCCTGCTCCTCCAGCTGCCAGTTGTTCCTGCAGCCCGCTGTGCCCCACCCCGAGGACAGCGGTGTTTCGCTGCTGGCCGATGCCGTGGGTGTGATTTCCACAGCTGCATGTGAGGGGAGAAGCAGTAGCAACAGACAGACCACGGCTTTGTGCTTGTGGAAGTCCCTCTCGGGGGGGGTTGGTATTGACAGATTGCTGCTTCTGTGCTACTGCATTTTATCTCTAAAAAGCCAGCCTCAGATAAACCATCTGCCCGGCTGGTCTAGCAGCAGTCCTCCCGCCACGCTGTTTGTCCTTGTGTTGATAGCCGTGGCTCCAGCTGGCTCGTGGTGTGTCGTCCTCTGTAAGCAGCTTTTCATCCAACAACTAATCATTGTGCGAGAGGTATGTGGCAGAAATAACAGGATGTTTCTCCAAGGCCATCCCCTTATCTTTTGGCCTGGTTGTCGGGAGCAGCTGCTCTTCTGCGCAGCCTTGTCTCCTCTTTCTGGGATCTGGGAGAGGTGGTGTTCTCGCCGTCTGCAAAGGACCCTCCGACAGCCTGAACGAACTGATCTCTCTAAGCACCACGCTGTGAATTTCTGGGGGTTTAGGACTGTCGGGAGCCCTGGAGAATGAGGATTCCTGACAAAAGGGTTAAATCCGATGGCAGTTACTGTCAGGTTGCATCCCCACATGGCAGCCCTGAGGGGGGTGATGCAGTCTGACCCACTTAGCAGCAGCAGAGATCTCTGCGGACTGTGTACGAAAGAGCAGAGCTCTGGGGACAATGTAGTTAATTAGATGTCCTGATTCTGTCTTGGTAAGGGACCGGAGTTGCACAGGGACTTGCTTTCCACGGTGCACAGCACCACGTTCTCAAAAGCCTCGAGCAAAGACAGGTCAGTGCCTTCTCTGACGACGATTTAGTTCCCGAGAAGGCTCCCCTGTGCATATATCAAATCCCTTCGGCCGTTTTCCACGTTGGTTACTAAATTTCTGGTGACTGTTGGCAAGGAGGTTGAGGCCCGAATCTGGCCACGCGGGTGGGTTTCAGTTCCAAGCTGTCACTCTCAGTCTCAAGTTGCTCTTTCCGAAGTCTGGTCACTGTAAGCCGAGGAGCGCTGGAGGCCGCTGCTGGGGGCCAGCCCAGAGCCATCCAGGTAAGGGGGGGGGGCCAGGTTAGCAGCTCGCACACAGATCATCTGCGTTGAGCAGAGATGGTCGCTGTGGCCTGGCAGAATCGGGCTGTTGCTGGAGAGGGAGCCAGGAGCGCAGAGAGCTCTGCCAGGACCTCCCTTAGGCCTTTTCCGTATCGGTGGCAGGTTTCATTGAGGAGCCGGAGAGGAAGTACTGCTTCGAATGTGACAGCAGAGAGCAGTGTCAGGAGTGGATCGAGGCACTCAAGCGAGCCAGGTAGGTTGAGCCGCTCCTGCGAGGCCTGCAGTGTGCGCTCCGTGCTGTTTGTTTTCTGGGATCGGCGTGTGCTGAACCCAGGGAGGAAAGCGGTCGTCGCCTCCCGAGCCAGCTTCCCTTCAGCTCTGAGTGGCACCCAAAGGTTCTCCATCCTCTTCTGCTCAGCCTGCCGCACGGTCTGTTCCTGTCTTACAGCTATGAGTTCATGAGGAGGAGCTTGATTTTCTACCGGAACGAGATCCAGAAAATGACGGGGAAGGTGAGTCCCTTGAAGTCGGTGACTGACGGATTTGGGCCGGAGCAGGAGCTGGCGATCTCGGGTGTCGCTGCACGAGGCTGCTTGCTGCCGTCTGTGTGAAAGCGATCCGGCAGCGAGGCAGTTCCTGAAGCCACGGTCGCAACAGCCAGCCCTGAGGGTCTTCCTGTGCAAACAGCCTGCGCTGCCGTGCTCAGCTCTGGCTCTCGTACGCACTGTTCCGGTAGCAGCGGCCCGAGGTTTGTAGCCCAACTGGTCTGGGCTAGGCCGCACTCCGCTGGCTCTGCAGGAGTTCACAGCAGCCCTGGCCGGCTTGGAGCATACAGGGGTTGAGACGCTGCTCACCCCTCTGCCAGGCTCCTCGGAGCATCCCTGCTCGGGGCGACGGAGCTGGCTGCCGCTCACCTGTGCGTTGCCGTGCCAGAGCGGGCTGAGCACAGCCTGCGGGCCGTGCTTAGCCGCTGTGTCCTCCCCGAGGAGCGCGTGGCTTTCTGCACCAGGAACAGCAGCCAGGGGCTGGACCGGGGTAAACCCAGCGCGCGACTGGTCTGCAGGCTGGTCGAGGGACAGTCCCGCTGGCCTCCCCATCGTCTAGTCTCACTGCTGCCTTCCCTGTGCTCTTGCTGCAGGACCCCCTGGAGCAGTATGGGATCTCCGAGGAAGCCCGCTTCCAGCTGGGAACACACAAGCCATAATCCCCTCATCTGGGCTGAACTGGCTTCTGGCCCCAGGATCGCCCCATAGGGTCACCCCCAAGCACCCCCCAGAAGAGCAGCAGCAGTTCCCCACGGCAGTGACCAAGTGACTTTTTAATTTATTAGCCAAATAATTTTGTATGATTTTTTTAAAGGGAATTGCTTGCACATTCCCGCTCGCCCCGGCTGTGGGGGCAGCCGGTGTTAACCGCTCCCTGCGCCGTGGCCTCCCACCGGGCCCCA